AGGCTGGCGCGCACTCACCGGCTCGCCCCTCCAGTCCGGCTGCTCCTGTCCCCACTCCACCGGTCTGGGATGTACCTTTCCATCTGTTGCTGCTTTCTTCTATGGGCCCCTGTCCTGACGCTCAAAAATCTCAACTACTCAGTGCCAGAAGAGCAAGTGGCCGGTACCGTGATCGGCAACATAGGCAAGGATGCTCGACTGCAATCAGGGCTTCCGCCGGCTGAGCGAGGGGGCAGCGGAGGGCGAAGCAAGTCGGGTAGCTACCGGGTGCTGGAGAACTCGGCACCGCACCTGCTGGACGTGGACGCCGACAGCGGGCTCCTCTACACCAAACAGCGAATCGATCGTGAGTCCCTGTGCCGCCACAACGCCAAGTGCCAGCTGTCCCTCGAGGTATTCGCCAACGACAAGGAGATCTGCATGATCAAGGTAGAGATCCAGGACATCAACGACAATGCTCCCTCCTTCCCCTCTGACCAGATCGAAATGGACATCTCGGAGAATGCTGCACCGGGTACCCGATTTCCCCTCACCAGCGCACACGACCCGGACGCCGGCGAGAACGGGCTCCGCACCTACCTACTCACTCGCGATGACCACGGTCTCTTCGCCCTGGACGTCAAGTCCCGAGGCGACGGCACCAAATTCCCCGAGCTGGTCATCCAGAAGGCGCTGGACCGCGAGCAGCAGAACTATCACACGCTCGTGCTGACCGCCCTGGACGGTGGGGAGCCGCCACGCTCCGCCACGGTGCAGATCAACGTGAAGGTGATCGACTCTAATGACAACAGCCCGGTCTTCGAAGCGCCCTCTTACTTGGTGGAACTGCCCGAGAACTCCCCGCTGGGCACCGTGGTCATTGATCTGAACGCCACAGACGCGGATGAGGGGCCCAACGGCGAAGTGCTCTATTCTTTCAGCAGCTACGTGCCCGACCGCGTGCGGGAGCTCTTCTCCATCGACCCGAAGACCGGCCTGATCCGGGTCAAGGGCAACCTGGACTATGAGGAGAACGGTATGTTGGAGATCGACGTCCAGGCCAGAGACCTGGGACCCAATCCCATCCCGGCCCACTGCAAGGTCACAGTCAAGCTCATCGACCGAAACGACAACGCGCCGTCCATCGGTTTCGTCTCCGTGCGCCAGGGGGCGCTCAGTGAGGCCGCCCCGCCTGGCACTGTCATTGCCCTGGTGCGGGTCACTGACCGAGACTCGGGCAAGAACGGGCAGCTGCAGTGTCGGGTCCTGGGTGGAGGCGGGACGGGCGGCGGCGGCGGGCCGGGCGGGGCAGGGGGGTCCAGCCCCGTCCAAGCGGCGGCGGCGGCCTGGGCGGGCCAGGGGGTTCCATCCCCTTCAAGCTGGAAGAGAACTACGACAACTTCTACACAGTGGTGACTGACCGCGCGCTGGACCGGGAGACCCAGGACGAGTACAATGTGACCATCGTGGCGCGGGACGGGGGCTCGCCTCCGCTCAACTCTACCAAGTCGTTCGCAGTCAAGATTCTGGACGAGAACGACAACCCTCCTCGGTTCACCAAAGGGCTCTACGTACTGCAAGTGCATGAGAACAACATTCCAGGAGAATACCTGGGTTCCGTGCTCGCCCAGGATCCTGATCTCGGTCAGAACGGCACTGTGTCCTACTCCATTTTACCCTCGCACATCGGTGATGTGTCCATCTACACCTATGTGTCTGTGAATCCCACCAACGGGGCCATATACGCCCTGCGCTCCTTTAACTACGAGCAGACCAAGGCTTTTGAGTTCAAGGTGCTTGCCAAGGACTCGGGGGCGCCCGCGCACTTGGAGAGCAACGCCACAGTGAGGGTGACGGTGTTAGACGTGAATGACAACGCGCCCGTGATCGTGCTGCCCACGCTACAGAACGACACCGCCGAGCTACAGGTCCCGCGCAACGCTGGCCTGGGCTACCTGGTGAGCACCGTGCGCGCCCTCGACAGTGACTTCGGAGAGAGCGGCCGCCTCACCTACGAGATTGTGGACGGCAACGACGACCACTTGTTTGAGATCGATCCGTCCAGCGGCGAGATCCGCACGCTGCACCCCTTCTGGGAGGATGTGACGCCCGTGGTGGAACTGGTGGTGAAGGTGACAGACCACGGCAAGCCCACTCTCTCCGCGGTGGCCAAGCTCATCATTAGGTCCGTGAGCGGCTCCCTGCCCGAGGGGGTGCCCCGGGTGAACGGCGAGCAGCACCACTGGGACATGTCCCTGCCGCTCATCGTGACTCTCAGTACTATCTCCATCATCCTCCTAGCGGCCATGATCACCATCGCTGTCAAGTGCAAGCGCGAGAACAAGGAGATCCGCACTTACAACTGCCGCATCGCTGAATACAGCCACCCGCAGCTGGGCGGGGGCAAAGGCAAGAAGAAGAAGATCAACAAAAATGATATCATGCTGGTGCAGAGCGAGGTAGAAGAGAGGAACGCCATGAACGTCATGAACGTGGTGAGCAGTCCCTCCCTGGCCACCTCCCCTATGTACTTCGACTACCAAACCCGCCTGCCCCTCAGCTCGCCCCGGTCAGAGGTGATGTATCTCAAACCAGCCTCCAACAACCTCACTGTCCCCCAGGGGCACGCAGGCTGCCACACAAGCTTCACAGGACAAGGGACTAATTCGAGCGAGACCCCTGCCACTCGGATGTCCATAATTCAGGTAGGAAACTTTTAGCATAATTGGGACTGAATTCATTTTATTGCTGGCTTGGGAGCTGTCCCAAAATCTTTGGAATAGGATAAGCCACACTGTCAGCAGCAATGAAAGAGAATTTTCTTAAATGAAAATGCTTTATTCTTTAATACTGGACAGGTATCAGCTGCCACACATAAACCCTCCCACATAAACAGCTTGAAATCTACAAGGTGTAAATGTTTTACTTCAGTTACGTTTGTAAAAGTTTATTTTTATAGGTTTAAAAATGTGAGCAGTGCTCAGTATTCAGTCTTTATCTTATTTTATTTGTTGGTCCACACTTTGTTACAAAAAAGTGTTTCCTGATTAGGAAAAAACAACATAAAAACTTCATTCTCTTAAAAAATTTTTACTTCCATTTTAAGTTATTTTTTGATTCAAAAATGAAAGAAGTATATATTCAAATATGAAGTTCTTAAAGTTATAGCCTTGCACTCAGGCAGAATTCTGGAACTTAAAAGAAACTTAAACTAAGTATTTACTATCCCAAAAGTTAGTTTTATATTTAAAAAGTGTTTTAAGAGACATGAAAATCATTTGTAGCAGAAACTGCAGCATAGTGTGCTGGTGTAATTTAAGCTTTTGAAGTGCTCTGAAGTGCTCTCAAAAGTTTGAATAAATGCAGGCTAGGGATAGTGACCAATAGATTTATAAACAGTTGATATTTGTTTAGGCCTGTGCTTTCCCTAATTTGTTTGTTGGAGTAACTAAGGAATTAAAGCTATATAGTAGAGAGTCACAGGATTATTTTGTGCATTTAAAAAATAGGACACAAGTTGCTCCTGATTCCAAGCTGCATTTATTTTGCAAGTGTGTTTCCAATACATGCTGAGTGATAGTTGATATATACTATAAAGTATGATCTAAAGCTATTAATATATGATAAAGCTATATGAGTGACGAAGGGTGGGCATCAACTCTTAGAAAGGTTAACTATATTGACTATACTGTGTTTAGTCACTGTCTTGTTTCTTATCCACAATTGTTTCACTGAAAACTTTAATTCTTGCTTACTATGAATGTGGGTTGTTAACAAATTACTCTGGATAAGCAGTGTTTCCAGTTCAAAATTGAGCTTAACTAAAAGTGACACTTTGGGAGGAAGATTTGTATCAGGCAAATGAAAAATAATTCGTTTGTATTATTATGCTTTGAAAAGCAAATAACTTTTAATGACACCTGACTCAGTAATGGTTTTATTGTTAAAACAGAGTAGTAAAATTTCTTGCTCATATGTTTTCTAACACAACAAGGTTTCTATATACTAATACTTAACATATTTTTCTGTAATAGGATAGTGTCCTTGAAAAATAGACCTTTACATGTGACTCTACTCAATACTAAAATGTCAATAATAGTAGTAACTACCAATTTTATAGCATTTAATGCATATAAGTAGTCATGCTATTTGAGGTTTATATAAAGCTAAAATTGAAATTTCCAACTTAAAAAATGTGGTTTCTATGGAAGTCTTTCTGTGACTATGTAAATTTGACATTTATGATAATCAGTATCTCTACAGAGGGAGATGTGCTAACGTACTATTTGTGGGGGTGGGGGGTAATGCTAGGGATTGAATCAAGGGTCCTCTGCATGCCGGTCAAGCACATGACCACTGACTACACTCCCTGCCCTAAAGTATGTATATTTGCAAATCTACTGCTTTTTATAAATACACAATTCTTTTGTAGCTTGCTTTATATTTATTGGATTAATAATAAAGATATGTCACAAAAGGTTAATTCTTAACCCTCCACTTCAAGTGTTTCAGTTGAATTCTCATTTAGTTTCAGTATACGGAATTGGTGCAGTCAAATTCTCAACAATTCTGATGTCTTGTTCAGACTAGTGAAGAACAGTCTTGGATCGAAACATCCAGAAGGTTTTGAGAGACAGTGAGGCCTCTACTTATTTCCAAAGTGCTGGTCATTGCTTAAGGATGATGCTCCTGCTGCTGGTGATTCTTCTCATTAGCAATAAAACTTAAGCGACAGCAAATTCCACACACACAAACACAGACAAATGCACAATTTAAACAGAAAGCAAAAGATAAACTGTTTCTCTTCTTTCATCCCTAGTATCTGAATCCATACTATAAAAAAGCAAAATGAGTTTTAATTTCAGGTCTGAAATCTTTTTTTTCAAAGTATCTCAATTTCCTATATTGGCTCAGACCTGGAAATATTAGCAACATAAACTATTCAAATAAGTGAGTTTTCCCTACTAATTTTTTCAGTCCTATATGAAATATTTGTAAATTGCAGGATGTGTTAATTTCCCTTTAAACATATCAGGTTTAACTTGACACTATGGAGAATATGGTAAATTTAAAAATTACTGTTTTTTAACTGATGTGCTACAAATACATTGTAATGAAGTGACATGCTTATATTAAAGCATGCAAGTATCCCATAATCTTGTTCAAAATGCTTTCATTAATGTGTGTATATAATAGAGACTGCAAAGGAAACACATTACTAATCTCATGTGTATTTCTGCAAGTAGTCATTTAATCCACTAAATCTACTTGAACTAACAGCTGCCATGTCCAGTTCATCTTTATTTTACAGCATTTATATGGTGTTTAGAAGTTTCACAGTATAATTCCATCAATAGATCGAAAAGAATTTCATAAGGTGTTGCAGTACTCTGATACAAAGTGGTGATATAAAATTTGAGACTTTGTGACTTATCAGCTCATGTTACAATGCAAAGGAGTATTTAAGCATCAAAGCATTTTATGCATTTCTAACATGTGAAGGTGAATATCTGAAGGTTCTTCTTGGGCACAAAAGTATTTTTATAGATTATGAATATAATGTAACCATGTAATCTGGTGTAGAAACAGATTTGTGAGATGAAATTTTATTTTAGAGTTTTATCAAGTTCCTCAAATTAAAGTTGATCTATGTAGTGGTTGTATAATAGACTATGAAAAATATCCACAATAGTGTGAATTATAATATACCACAGTTATATTGAAATATTTTTTCATGTTAAAACTATAAAGTTGATTTTGAGCATAGATTTAGTAATAAGCAAGGGAGATAGATATTTTTACAATTTTTAAAAGACTTTCCCATAGGAGTAATTTTCATGAGTCATTTCATGTGTTAACATGAAATTTAAAGTGGAGTAGATATCATTATTAATTCTGAAAAATAACTGCTAATTATGACTTATCACAATTAATTGCTGAGTCTTAAAGTGACTTTTCAACAGGTGTTTTTAGTCCAGTCCACCTTGAGATGAAGGGGGAAAGCTGGGGACATCTCACTGATGGGAGGATTTCCAATTTGAAGATCTGTGTTTTCACATTTTTTAGCATTGCTACAAGTCATTTTGAAAATACTATCATGGAATAAAATGTAATAAGCCATCAAAATTAAATTTATTAAAATACATTTGAAAGGAATATATTCTTAGTGTCTTACAGATCAATTTCATGAAATTCATGGTTAGAGTTGACTTTAGAGTCTTTATGCTAGGGAGATGAAATTCTTTTGAAATATGTGTTTGGCAATTTCAATAGAAAGGAATTAAGTACATGGCAAATGCCTAAAGCCAATACAAACATATAAAAATGCAACTGAAGTGTAAAAATCTAAAGTATCATAGTATAAGCAGGAAATTCAGTATTTCAGAATGAAAAAGTAAAAGTCTAGCTTTCATAATAGAAACATCATCCACGATTTGGCTTTATTCTCAACTCTGTAACACAAGCCGATTTTGACCATGGAGAGTCACTTATGAATTCTCAAGATCACGATCTTTCAAATTTCTTACGCTAGTATATTATTAATGATTTCAGCACCAAAAATACACAATTTCTTTTATCAAAATTGTGGAGACATTTTACTGCAATTTTTATTCTATGAAGGGATCATTTGATTAGCTCCATGTATTGCTTTCCATAAATTATATATAATCTCTATTTACAGGGGTTGTGATGGGCATTTAGGAGAGAGATGTTTTTCTTAGCATGTGTCTCCAAGCATGTTTTTCCTTTCTTAAAAGTTTTCATAAGATAGTGGAGTAATTTCTACCTTGGAGTAAGATGAGTGCATGGTCATGTAATAATTTTTCTCTTCTTGTGCATTAGAAATAATTCAACATAAATTAACTTTAAAACATTATCAGCCACTCACTGTTTAGTGCTTCTTAGAAGATTTTTAAATTTTTTAATATCAAAAATTTCTTCTTCTTCTTTTTAGATATTGTGCCTTTTCTTCCTAGTCTCACATGAATGTATGAAAGTTTGAGCTCTAGTGTATATCTCTGGGTACTTCTGTATCACATAATAAATGAGAAAAGTAGGTTTGACTATATGAATTAGAAGCCACACAATTTTACTTTTTAAATATGCCAATAACTCCTCATAAGTCAATAATTTATATCCATTTGGTTTCAGTTTTCAGCAAAAAATTTAAATGCCAGCTATGTGAAACCTTATTCACTTAAACTAAGATGATAATGTATCAAGCTTTTGAAATTATAAGAATAAATTTTAATTTATCTGGTCATAAAAGTGAGTCCTATAACTTTAGTATACATTATCACATCTAAATCTACACCAATAATTTTCTAATTTTATTCCTAGTGTTTTCATGTTATTTAAAGCTGATGTGATTATAGAGAAGTATGACCTAAAATTTTTCTAAACTATGAAAACATATATTTTAGTAATAAAGAAATTTACATTTCATAAAAGAGTATCAATGACTACACTATTAAAGTCATGCAAAAGAACAAAAATCCTCACACAAAACTATAGTTTCTAGAAATACTTTTCCATCAGCTCAATAGTACAATATTTGATATTTACTTCTTTGAAATTTGTAGAAATAACTTTTATAAGAGTTTAAAATAAGGTAATTTTTAAGGTAATCCTAAAAAATAATGTATACTAATGATTTATGAAATTTGCAATATTTCACAAAAATTTTAAAAATCTTGAGATCAAT